ACTCGCAGGAGGACCTGAGTCACCAGTGACCTCAACCGGCGCAGTCAAGGGAGGAGGGTCTACCTGAGAAACACCTGAAGGAGCAGGACCGGGAGCGGGGAGGGGGTCTACCTGGGGAGCACCTGGAGCAAGGAAGAGCGGCGGGGGGGGGAGCGAGGCAGTGCGGTAGGGGAAGAGACGGTAAAAGGGAACCGACTCGTCGAACGTGACGTCCTGAGACGCAAAGACATGGCGCGAGGTGGGGTGGTAAAACTGCCAACCAGGCGCGTCAGGGACAAAGCCAAGGAAGACACTGGGAACAGCGCGGGCGGAGAGCTTGTCCGCGGTGGTATCGCGGACAAAGGCACGAGCACCCCAGACCCGGAAACGCGACGCATCGCCAACCTTCCCCGTCCACAGCAGTGTGGGCGAGGTCTCCGGCAAGGAGACACGGGGCCAGAGGTTGAGCTGATGCGCGGCGTACCGGACCGCAAACGGCCATAGAAAATGGGGGGCAGCCGCATGGATCATGGAGGTACGAGCGACCTCCATGACTAAGCCAATGCGGCGCTCAGCAACCCCATTCTGCTGCGGAGAGGCCGGAAGCGTGAACGACTGGGTGATGCCGTGCTCCGCACAGTAGGCTGCCAAGAGGTCGGAGGAGAACTCACCACCTCTGTCAGAGTGCAGACGCAGGACAGGAAAGTCCGACCGGAACCGCTCGCGGAGCTGGAGACGAACAGCGCGGATCCAGGGGATCAAAACAGCAGGGACGTCCCCCTTGCTCTGCAAGGGGAAGACCGTGGTGTAACGCGTGTAGTCGTCGACGACCAGCAGGAAGTACCGCTCGCGGCCCTGTCCCTGGACGCGGGCTGGGCCCCACACGTCCAGGTGGAGCGTCTGCAGTGGAGCCTCTGTGGGAGGAAACGAGGAGGAGTGAGGAGCGGCGCGCTGCCGCCCCTCGACGCAAGGAATGCAGGGCGGCGCAGGCGAGGGAGGGAGGGCAGGCAGGGACCTGGGAAGACCAGAGACCAGGGAGCGAGAGTGCATGCTACGCAGGCGAGGCAAGGAGGGGTGACCAAGGCGGTGGTGCCACAGGAGAGTGTCGTGCGACAAAGCGCGACACTCGCAGGGGGCCGCCAGCTGACCAGACGTAGACGCAGACGCAGACGCAGCTACCTGAGGGGACTCAGTGGTCAGTGTGTACAGACTCGAGCCAGGTGCACGGGTGAACGTGGCCAAGTGCCGGCCCGTCCTAGCACACGTACAGTGAGTCACTCGCTGACTCGCAGGAGTGAACTGGTCAACCCCCCCATCCTGGAGGTCAGCTCCACTCACCAAGTTCGTAGAGAACGAGGGGAGGTAAAGACCTGACAGCGAGCCGGACGGGACGGCCGGACACGGCAGAACCGTGGAATAGTGGGCAAGGACTGGACCCCCAGAGGGGTCCGCCAGGGAGACCGGGACTGGCCGACTGAGCGGCGTGAGTGCGGTGCAGTCGCAAAAGAAGGAGCGGGAAGCTCCTGAGTCAAGGGTGAAGGTGTGCGAGACCGCAGTGGGCGCAGTACCAGAGAGAGCAGACACAGCAGCACCTGATGCCACGGCCTCACCAGTACCTAGAGCAGTAGACGTACTAGCACCGAGAGCAGCAGCCTCACCAGCACCTAGAGCAGGAGACGCACTAGCACCTAGGGCAGCAGCCTCACCAGGGTCAGGCGGTACGCACAGGCAACAGGCACGGTCAGCACTAGTAGACAATGCATACATGGCAGTGAGAATAGCATCATAGTCAAGCGCAAAGATATCTACCCTCTGTCTATGCAGCTCCAGCCAGGTGGGGAGCTCAGCCTCGTCGCCAAACACTGTGCGCCAGTCGTCGCTCAGACGGGCGAAGCAGCGGGACTGTGTGTGACCAAGCGTCCCACAAGGCTGACCAGTCCTAGCACCTGTGCGAATGACGTACGGGCAGCGGACTGTACGCGTAGACCTGCTACACTGAGCGTACCACTCCTGGAGCTGCCGGGGCGTAAGTGTCTCACGTGGACGTCCCTGCAGCTGCAGCTGGCCACTGCCAGACGCTCCCAACTGACCAGCTCCAGGGCGACAGCTACGACGGCTACCGCGACAACCCCAGCTAGTATACCACTCACTAAGCTGCTGAGGCGTCAGAGGCTCGCGTGAATGTCGCTGGAGCTGCATCTGGCCACCTGCCAGTAGCAGTAGCGCAGGCAAGGCAGGCGCGGCAGGCAGGCAAGCAAGCAGGCAGGCAGGCAGGCAGGCAGGCCGGCAGGTAGGCAGGCAGCCAGGCAGGCAGGCAGGCAGGCAGACAGGCAGGCAGGTAGGCAGGCAGGCAGGCAGGCAAGTAGACACGCAGGCAGACAGGCAGGCAGGCAGGCAGGCCGGCAGGCAGGCAGGCAGCCAGGCCGGCAGGCAGGCAGGCAGACAGGCAGGCCGTCAGGCAGGCAGGCAGGCGCTCACCAAAGGCTGGGAGAGCAGGGCCGGCGCTCGAGTAGGCGCACGACAGCGGCGACGTCGGGGCCGCAAAACCGGCTGCAGAGCAGGGCCGAAACAGCTGGAGGGCGGGGCCGCGTCAGCGGCAGTAGCAGGGTGGGGCCGCGTCAGCGGCAGGTCGGGGTCGTGGCAGCTGCAGGGCGGGGCCGCATCAGCGGCAGGTCGGGGCCATGGCAGCTGCTGGGCGGGGCCGCATCAGCGGCAGGTCGGGGCCGAGGCAAAGGGCCGCGCGCGGCCGCGCTAGGGAGTAGCGGGCCGCGCGCGGCTCGGCGCGGGCTGTTGCGGGCCGCGCGCGGGCCGTGCGAGGCAGGAGCAGGCCTCGCGCGGCTCGGCACGAGCTGCTGCGGGCCGCGCGCGGGCTGCGCGAGGCCGTAGCAGGCCGCGCGCGGCTCGACGCGGGCTGCGCGGGCTCGGCGCGGGCTGCGCGCGGCAGCTGCGAGCTGCGCGCGGCTCGGTGCGGGCTGCGCGCGGTTGCAGCGGGCTGTGCGCGGCTCGGTGCAGGCTGCGCGCGGCTGCAGCGGGCTGCGCGCGGCTCGGTGCGGGCTGCGCGTGGCTGCAGCGGGCTGCGCGCGACTCGGGGCGGGCTGCGCGATCTCGGTGCGGGCAGCGCGCGGTAGCAGCGTGTGTGCGGGCCCGACAGGCGTGTAGAGGCGGCGCGCGGGCCTTACGGGCCTCTAGGGGCAGCGCGCAGGCAAGGCAAGGCAAGGCAAGGCATACAAGGCAAGGCAAGGCTACGTGGGGTAGCGCGGTAACCGCAGCGGTAGGTGGGCCCGAAAAAAAAAACGGTCCTACGGACCTTAGTGCTCTGAAACCATGTTAGAATCTAGCAGCAGGAATGGATGAACTAACAGGATGCAGGAGTACAAGTAGTAAACCCTAACTAGGTTGTACCCCATATGGGCTACCCCACTACAGCCTAGACAATATGCAGCACATATAGTTTGACATGAGACACTTTCGATTGGGATTGAGATTAGGTAGTTAGGGCTTAGGGCTTAGGCTCAGGAGATCGGCGAGACTAGCGAGGGAGTTTGGCAAAAAAAGGGGTTTCAATAAAGGCAAAGCATACAAGATATAGGAAATGGGAAGGGAGAAGAAGAGGGTACACCACCAGCAGTTGATGCTAATAATTAAATTAGTACACTAGCAAGCTATAGGCAGTTATAAGACATGCAATACCAATTAACAGACGCCCATGATTGACTTTCGACGACATTTTGGTAGACCGCACCAGTTACATGCTGGGTGTCGTGGCTTGCTAACCACTTTCGTCGGCGTCCACATGTCACTATGGTAACGGGTATCACTGGGAGGAATCCCTAACCCATGTATTTCCCAACGGGACTGCCAATTTACATAAGGTCACGCTCCTGGGTGGGAGATGTCCCCCTAATTTTCCACGCAGGACAACGCTCCCAAAAAGAGGGTTGGTGCTTTCTTATTGAAGTGTAGCTTGTCCATTGAGCTTTAGTATTTTGTATATAATCGATGTTGTGGACATTCTTGATTTATTTTATAGCTACACAGAATTTACTGTAAAACACTCCAACGTGTTACAACAAAAAACGAATTGCGTCAAAATGACCTGCGAAGATCAACAATGGCCGCGCATACACACCTAGCCCAGCCACAGATGGCGACATTCTACGTATCACAAGCAGTAGCGAGAATAGCCCTACACTGACGCAGTCGTATATTGGCTCCTAGTCCGCGTCTACGACGGCTTCAAGCCACCGAAGTTTGCTTACGTTCGACCGCCGAAACCACACCATTCAACGACGTTGATGCAGATGAGAACCAGGCCGTCCGAGCAGGATTTTCACCCCCGAATGGATTCCATTATCCCACTTTTTTCCGATGTCATGAATGGCTTGGCGTGACGTGGCACAGCCAGCCTGTGCCGATTTAACACCTAACGCCTGGGCTTTCCGTCTCAGCAGCAGTACAACGGATTCGCGCGTTTGTAGCACCCGCGATAGTACCTTCCGCCATAGTGGTGATATTAGCCCAAAAAAAGAAAATCTGTAAATCCGTAAAAGAGAGAAGTGTAGCAACTTCCAGACATGCTGGATGCGACAAGCGTTGAATTAGGGTTAGATCCGTTGAATGCGCCGGCTGCAGCCGCGGCGCGAGTCCAACCGCCGAATCCGTTCTCCGTGCTCAAGTGCTTCTTCCTCATGGGGTACGCACGAACGACTCTCTTAAGGTGCCTCCAAAGCCGCGCCATTCCAACAGCCGCATCCCTTCTCCGTCTCAGAAGTCAATGGATGTCCCGACTCAGTTGGCTGCTGGTTTTTCTTGTCGGCGTTGCTCATTGCACGCAGTTTTTTGCCGCCTCCCAACCCGTTTCCCTTCCTTCGTAAAAAAATAGGAAGGGGGAGGGGAGGGAGGAGGGGGGGGAGGGGGTGGGGTTAATATATTCATGTTTCGCGTCTCCCGTTTCTCCCATTTGGCCGGTCCCTCTTGAGTGCAGCTTCTACAATTTCGGCGGCACCAAGGGCCACGTTGAGATGATGCGCAAAGAGTTTGTGGACCGGCGAGGCTGGCTGGACGACAGCCAGTTCACGGAGGTGTACCGATATGCCAATGTAAGCCAATGTAATGTGCTGTGCTGTTGGTCTGCCAGTGTAATGTGTTGCTGGTCTGTCAATGTAGTGTGCTTCTGTGCCAACGTAATGTGCTGCTGCTGTGCCAATGTAATGTGCTGCTGCTGTGCCAATGTAATGTGCTGCTGCTGTGCCAATGTAATGTGCTGCTGCTGTGGCAATGTAATGTGCTGTGCTGTTGCTGTGGCAATGTAATGTGCTGTTGCTGTGGCAATGTAATGTGCTGTTGCTGTGGCAATGTAATGTGCTGTTGCTGTGGCAATGTAATGTGCTGTTGCTGGTGCACTGTAATGTCTTCTTGGTATGCGGATGTAATGCGTTTTTTGCTGTGCCAATGTAATGTCCTCGTGGTGTGTGTGTGCGCGCGCGCGTGCGTGTGTATGTGTGCGCATGCGTGCGTGTGTGCGTGCGTTCGTGCGTGCGTGCGTGCGTGTGTGTGTGTGTGTGTGTGTGTGTGTGTGTGTGCACGCGCGCGCGCGCGTGTGTGTGTGTGAAGATAGACAGGCAAAGCTCATCTCTCTACTGCCTCCGCAATCTGACTCCACTCACTGTAGCCCTGCCCGGACAGCAACCCTAAACCCTGGTCTGCCTTACTCCTTTCTGCCGCCCCGTCCGCAGGCCATCCCGGGCCCCACGGGGATGCAGATGGTGGCGACACTTGGCACGCTGTGGTTGGGCACGTACCTGGGGGGCATCCTAATGCTCTTCTTCTTCATGCTGCCGGGATGCGTGTCCGTCTACTTTGTGGTGAGGCGGCTTGATGTTGCTCTGTTTAGGACTTGTGCTGGGGTGGGGTTGACATGTGTGTTTAGAGACGTTTCAACGCACATACCTGCTGGGTTTGGCATCCTCATGCCCTTCTCTCGTCTTCACGCTGACTGGTTGCCTTTTTGTGTACCTCGTGGTGACATGCCTTGCTCTGTTTGATACATGGCTTGGTGGTGACATGCATGGAAAGAGTCTTTTCTCCTCTCTGTTCACCACCCTCTTCTATCCCTCGGAACACAAGGCTGTTACCTGCTTGCCATTGTATTTTGAATTGTCCCTGAACATTGTCTCACCGCACTCCACCACACTCCACTGCCCTCCGTCCGTCTCTCCAATCTAGGTTCGTGGAAACGGTGGGGCAGAGCGAATATTTCTCCTTCAGCATTCATCCTTTGTCTTACTCCACTCTACTCTATCACCCTCCACCACCCTCCACCACACCCGTCTTTTGCAGTCGAGGTTTGTGGAGTCAGTGGGGCAGAACGACTTCTTCTTGTTCAACATTCATCCTTTGTTTCACTCCACTCCACCACCTTCCATCACCCTCCACCCCTTCTTCTCTCCAGTCAAGGTTCGTGGAAGGGGTGGGGCAGAACGATTTCTTCTCGTTCAACACGCAGTGGTTCACGGAGTTTGGCCCGCAGATCCCCTCCGATGAGAAGGCCTCCACCTTCTCGCAGGCCGTTGTGGGCGCCGTTGCTGCTGCCCCTGCCTACGCCCTCCTCTACTCCTTCGCCCATGCCCAGAACGTGAGTATTCAACCTCCTTCATAATGCCGGTTAATACCCACTCCGTCTCGCCCCTTAGAATCACACTTTATCTCGCCCCTTAGAATCACTCTCCATCACGCCCCTTAGAACGTGAGTGTCAGTTCGACATAGTTGCTTCTTCTTTCTCCCCTAACCGCTCTCTTGCTCCCCTCCTTGCCCCCAAATCCCCCTCCCTCTCTCTCACTCCCCCTTCCCCCCCTCTCGGGCCCCCGCCCCCATCTCTGCAGCTTGTTTCCACCACGGGCAGAGCCCTCATCACCATAGTCACCTCCATGTTCTCTTTCATTCCCCTCCCAGACCACTTTCCCTTCTCTTGCCGCTTCTCTTAACCCTGAACCCTGTCCCCCCTCCCTCCCCACCGCAGGTCGCCACCACCACGGACAGAGCTCTCATCGCCATAGTGGCTTCCATCGTCTTCCTGCTGGCCCCGCACCACCTCTCGCACCTCCTCGTGCCCCTCGCCCTGCTCCTCGCCGCCCTCTTCCGCTACCTCGCCCCCTTCGACCGCCTCTTCTCCCCCCCCTCCTCTTCCTCCTCCCACGCCGCACACTCCTACTTCCCTTGGTCTGCTGCCAGACCTTCCCACCCTCACGCCTCGTCCGCCTCCTCTTCCTCCTCCACCTTCTCCTCCTCCTCCTCCTCTGCGGCCTCTGGCGTCCCTCTAACCTCCCAAGTGACTGACATCTTCTTCCGCCCGCTGCTCAGCCGGAGAAACACCGCGGCATACACTCAGCTAAGCGCCAGCGGTACCAGTGCCGAGCGGGTTCCACTCACAGCCAGAGGCGGGGGCGGACGGGGGGGGAACGGCTTGGTGGGAGCAGTCGCTGGGGCAGGCTCCCCTGCTTTCAGTGAAGGGGATGAAGGGGATGAGGAGGAGAGTAAGAAGCTTGGGAAGGGCTTGGCGGTTGGGGGGGTGGCGGGAGGGTTGGGGGAGGGTGGCGGGGCGGGGATTGCGTGGGGAGAGTCGCTGGTGGTGTTGAGAGCCAAGGTGCACTCGCTGCCGTGGTCTGCCCTGCTGCTGCTCGCATGGGCTGTCACGAATCTGGCGTTTCTTTACTGCCGCACTCACGACGGGCGCGACCTGGGATGTGAGTAGAGTGTGGTGATAGGAGGGATGGGAGCTGAGATTGGGTGGGCTCATCATTGCCCCACCCTATTGCTGCCTTCTCACATGCCTTCTGCACATGTCTTCTGCACATGGCGCTGCTTCTATCCTTCCTCCTTCCTCCTTCCTCCTTCATTCCCTCTCCCCCCCATCCTCCTCTCCACTCGGGCTTGCTTCCCCCAGAGCTGATCTGTTGCTCCGTGTCGTGTCACTGGGCTTTGGGTTGGTTCATTTCCTCTTCTTCCTTCTCTCCTGCCCCTCTCGTCCGTCTCATCTCTCTCTCTCCGCCTCTCCCCCCTGGCAGGGCTCATACTCACAAAGCTCGTCTGCCTCAAAACCCCCCTACCCCCAACCCCACCCCCCCCCCACCACCACCACCACCCCCCACCCCCACCCCCACCCCACCCCCATCCCCATCCCGCCTTGGCAGGGCTTGTGCTGACAGAGCTCATCTGCCGCTCCGTGTCACTCGGCTTTGGGGGCGACTTCTTTCCTTTTGCCATCATGAATATGGAGGTGTGTGGATGGATATGGAGGTGAGTGGATGGATATGGAGGTGTGTGGATGGATATGGGGGTGAGTGGATGGATATGGAGGTGAGTGGATGGCTATGGAGGTGTGTGGATGGATATGGAGGTGAGTAGATGAAAATGGAGGTGGGTAGATGAAAATGGGGGTTTGCAGATGAATACGGAGGTGTGCAGATGATCTTCAAACCTGGTTCCTCCCGGCCCCCCGTCCCCTCTCCTCCCCCTACCCTTGCCCCCCACTTCCCTTCCCACCAGTATCAGCAGGAAAGTGCACCCTAAGGCCACCATTTGTCAACATCACGGCACCCAGTCATTCCCACCCCCCTTTCCCGTCACCATTCCTCTCCCCTCCGCCACTGCCACTCTCACAGTATCTGCAGGATAACGGCATCTTAAGGCCACCCATTGTCAACATCATCGCCCTTACAGCAGTCAGTTGCCCCCCCCCCTCCCTCCCCCCTCCCCCTCCCTCCCCCCGCCCCCTCCCTCCCCCCTCCCCCTCCCTCCCCCCTCCCCCTCCCTCCCCCTTGCCTTTTTCCCCTCCCCTCCCCCTCCCTCCCCCTCCCCCTCCCTCCCCCCTCCTCTTCCCGCCCCCTTGCCTTTTTCCCTCCCCTCCCTTCCTTCCTCCCCTCCCTCCTCTCCCCCTTGCCCCCTCCCTCCTCCACTCTCCGTTCTTGCATCACCTCTTTCCCTCCTCACCTTTGTGCTTGCTGACTTTCACCATTTTCCTCCCTCACGCATGCCCCACCGCCTCCTCCCTCACGCATGCCCCGCACATCTATCATCCAAGCCACCCCACCACTCATCTGTTCTTTCATGCATCACCCCGCCTCTTCCTCCCCATCCCCCCCTTCCCTGCCCTCTCCCTGCCGTGTCATCACTCTCCCTGCTCTCTCCATTTCCGTGCCCTCTCATGCCATCTCGCTCCACACCTCAATCTCCTTGCATATTGCCTGGATCTCTTCTCCCCGCCCAACCATCATGCTTTCCGTTCACTACCACTGCTTGTGAGAAGCCAAAACTCACCTGCTCCCCTCCTCTTGCTCCGCCTCCCAATCTCCTGCCTGTCTTCCCTTGTCCTGTTCGCCCATCAGACCATCATGTTGCCCGGCCATTACTATTCGGCCGTCACCTTCATAGCAATCTACAGCATTGGTAAGCACAGCCATCCACAGCATTGGTAAGCACAGACCGCCATATAGGTGCAACCAGTTTTTCAAGGATTTGTTGAAAGCAGTGTTGTAACTCTTCTTAGCAATTCTGTAGATAGATAGCAACAAGCAAGCTTCCCACGTGTTTTGAGGCACCTCAAGAATACCTTTGCTTGCTGATTCTGACGCTGAGAAACAAACAAGCTTTGCACATGAAATCTGTGTTTGAGGTGACAATTCATGAGGCGACCGGCCAGTATTACCCTGTCGTCACCTTCACCACCATCACAGCATCGGTAAGCAGGTTAGTCACTTGCAGTGGTGGTAAGCCGTGGTAAGCAGAGGTAAGTGGCCCTTTGCAGCAGGCAATATTTCCTCATGTTTTCCGCATACGCTTGTCTTGTGCTTCTCCTCCCGCAATCCCCCTCTCATCTCATCCCACGAAAGTTAATCTGCCTTGAGACGTCTCAAAAGAAATATACTCAACTTAGCAAGCTACAACTAATGTTTCAAGCAAGTCACATATACCGTTCATGTGTTTTCCACATAATCGCATGTCTTGTACCTCCCCTCCCACAACCCCCCTCGCATCCCACGCCCAGGTGTGAAGGGAGTGGTGGTGGGGCTAATGGCAGTGGCTGTACCAACCTTCCTCTCCGCCTTCTCCCTCCTCCCCCTCTGGGACTCCTTACAACGCGACCAGGTATGCCCTATTTCCCTGTTGCTTAGAGCTCTCTGGAGCCATATACCATTGCTCCCTCCCTAAACCCTCTCTGGGACTCCTTACAACGTGACCCAGTATGTGCCATTCAACCTTTGCTTACAGCTTTCAGCTGCTACATACCTTAGCTGCTTAAATGCTTAGCTTCCTCCCTTCCTCCCTCTCTGGGACTCCTTACAACACGACCACGTATGGCTCACCCTACTAGGTACCACAGCCTTGCCAAGTATCACAGCCGTTGCCAGGGTACCCTTGTGGTCTCCCAATTCCACAGGGTCTAGGGGCGGCAGTGGCTGGAGCTGGGCTAGCTAGCTGGAGAAAGAGTGGAGATCGCTGTTTTGGAGTCTCTGTGACAAGGTTGTTGTTGTTGACACTTTATGACGTATGTCGTTGCCATCTCCCGTCAACACCACAGGGCCTGGGAGCGGCAGTGGCTGGAGCTGGACTAGCTGGGGCGGGAGTGGAGATTGCCGTTCTGCTGCACCTGCTGCTGCAAGTGGTGCGTGAAATGGTCAATATATAAAAATGAATCAAAAATGAAGTATTGGTTAAAGGAGTAAGGAAGCCAAAAAGAGGCACAAAGTGCAGCAGTGGCAGGATGTATCTCACTTGTTTTTGCACCCGTTTCTGCCAGTGCTAGCATTGGGTAGAGAGCCCTGAGCATTCATAGGCTAAGCGACTTGCTAATGTTCATATCTCAATGATTCTTTGTGTGCCTGCTGGTGCATCGAAGTTACTTTTGAGAATTCTCAAAAGCATGTCTCAATGGTTCCTTCCGTGTGTGTGCTGCTGCAAGCGGAGGATCAACTCTTTTCCGCTTCACCCTACTTCACCCTACTTCACCCTGCTTCACCCTGCCACAATCTGTTCTTGGGCTTTCAGCCACCACAGGACACCACAGCCAGCCCTCAACAGAGCGACTTCTTAGTCCACTCAGAGTCACCACAGCCAGCCCTCAACAGAGCGACTTCTTAGTCCACTCAGAGTCACCACAGCCAGCCCTCAACAGAGCGACTTCTTAGTCCACTCAGAGTCACCACAGCCAGCCCTCAACAGAGCGACTTCTTAGTCCACTCAGAGTCACCACAGCCAGCCCTCAACAGAGCGACTTCTTAGTCCACTCAGAGTCACCACAGCCAGCCCTCAACAGAGCGACTTCTTAGTCCACTCAGAGTCACCACAGCCAGCCCTCAACAGAGCGACTTCTTAGTCCACTCAGAGTCACCACAGCCAGTCCTCAACAGAGCGACTTCTTAGTCCACTCAGAGTCACCACAGCCAGCCCTCAACAGAGCGACTTCTTAGTCCACTCAGAGTCACCACAGCCAGCCCTCAACAGAGCGACTTCTTAGTCCACTCAGAGTCACCACAGCCAGCCTTCAACAGGCTTGCCGTGAAGAATATACCCATCTCTGGTCTTTGCTTTCTGGATCTGTTGTGGCCCTTTGGCTGCAGGCAACAACAACAGGTCCGCTAGCTGTGGGCATTCTCACGGCATCATTGGTTGCAGCATTCCAGGTGACTGTTCTTGTTGGGTGGGTACTGTGAGCATATTCATATGTGTTCTGAGTCGACTCAACACACGCCTGGTAACCAACACTGGTAACCAACGCCGGTAACCGCCACTGATAGTCGGCACTAGTAACCACAGCAGAGCAGGGTGCTAGCTGCTGCCAACACAGCATCACTGTTTGCAGCATTCTCAGCGGCTACTGCTTAGGTGCTTGTTATGTGCTGGTTGCGTGTTCGATAATGGTTTCTTTTGGTTACGTTTAGTTGCTGTCAGGGGCTGTGGGGTGGGTGGGTAACAGTGACCGCATTCTGAGTCGACTCAAACGTTACCTTACATGCTCAGCCCACCGATCTTCCCTTTCCACAATGCCTTGCCACAATGCCTTGCCTCAATGCCTTACAGACTCCAGCGCCAATAGCAGTGGCAACAGGGTCAGCATTCGGGCTTATCCTCTATCTGGTGGGTGCTTCTCTTTCTCCTCACCCCATCGTGCTCTCACCCCATCGTGCTGCTCGCCCCATGTTCTTAGCTTCATATTGTCCTCCTTTTCAGTACAAGCATTCATGCACGTCTTGAGCTTGATATAAGGTTGCTGTCAAACATCTGACTGCCTTTGAGTCGCCTAAATATTCATAGGGTTTCTTTCAAGCATCGGCCTGTTTTTCTCAATACTTGTTTACACTGCGTCGTAGCCTCTCACTGGAGCATGGCAAATGAGCAGTGTCTATGGGTGTTTGTTTGATTTGCAAATGTAGCGTGGGATTTGGATAACTGAACTCCATCAATGCCAATCAACGCTCCGCAGCTGCTACAATCTGATGGCAGTCAATTGCCACCTCACTTCTCGGCCACGATGCTCAAACTCTTAATGCTTGGTGTTTGAGGCGTGTGCTTGTGCTTCCCTTGCTTGATATGTGTGTGTGGTAAAGAAGGTGTTGCTCTGCTCTATGTGTGCATGTGTGTGTGTATGTGTGTGTATGTATGTGCATGTGTGTGCACGTGTGTGCATGTGAGTGCATGTGTGTGCATGTGTGTGCATGTGTGTGCATGTGTGTGCATGTCTGGGCACGTGTGTGCATGTGTGTGCACTGCACATGTGTCCATGTGTGTCCATGTGTGTGTATGTGTGTCTGTGCCTGTGCTGTATCACTGTGCAGTTCAACATCGGGGGTCCGTACTGCTGGGTGCCAGCATACATGCGTCTCAACCCCGAAATGGTCAAGCCGTGCCTGCTCCTGCACAATCTCAATACGCTCTTGTTCACACGCTATTGAAGTTGTCCCCTATTGTTCTTCTCAGGAATTCATAGAAACGCTGCACGAGGCCCCTAGATTGGTTTTGGGGCATGTGAAAAATCAGTTGTCACACAAATTTAGGCTGAATGAAAATCAGCTGTAAACAACCCAACCAATTTTACACTAAAAATTCACATATTTTTCTTGAAAAGAAGGGCTGAAAAAAATATGAAAAGGGTTGAATCATCCGTTGAAAGGGTACAACACGAGGGCCATTATGATCTTTTCCATTCAAATGGCCCTGCTGGTTTGGTTGGCTTCGCAAAAAGGTCAAGAGGATGAGGTACATACATAGGTGCATCCTTGGTACGGTAACCCTTTCTATTCCCCATGAAATTGCTTTTCTCAGACAAAGAAAACATACGCATTGCAAGCACAAGCCCATTACCGTATCAGTAACCTTCATGAATACTTGCACACTACAACTCCCACTCCATGATTTTAGTAACCTTCATGATGTCCTGACCCAACTCCCACTCTTATACCAAAAGAAAAGCACAACGGAAACCTACGTTACTTTAAATTCAGAAATGCGATGGCGTGAACCCTTTCAGCAGCAGTGGTGGCTTGATGCAAGCATGCTTGGCTCGAGGTTTGAGGTGTTGCTACCCTGCCTAGCCTAGCCTATTGGCCCCCTTGCCAGTAATCCTCCCACTCCTGCAGCAGAAAAGAGTCAAGAACAAAACCAAGCACAGGTCAGCAGAAATAAAGCCTGGGTGTGTTTGCTCAAGGTGGAAGACAAGGAACCAGGATGGCATGACGTGGCATGTGGTGAACTGCAGGGGGTTGGGGAGAATGAAAAAGAGCTCACCCTGTTTTCCCATTCCATCAAACCCTAGTAGTAATATCCTGTTGAGGGGGTTGATGCGATGCACTTGTTCCGCCTCCTCACGTATCCAGCCTTGCAGCGACAAGCAGGCTTGTTTCCCACCAGTACACACTCAGCATTGCGAGCGCAGGCACGCTTGCACACGGCTGCCAACGGGGAACAGGGGCCACCAGAGATAGGAGATGACAGGGAGTACAGTGCCGAGAGTTGAGGTGGTGGGACCTGTCTCAAACACGACATGCACACTGGACAGTAGAAGTAGCACAAGATAGGAAGGATGGATGAATAAGGCCAAACACAATGCAACTGCAGTGCAGGAGAGAAAGAAGAGGGTGAGAAAGAGGAGGCTCACCAACGCACTGGCCGTCTGTCATGGTGAGCCCCTTCTTGCAGATGCAGGGCGGGTCGGCAGTGGCATTGCAGGTGGAGTTGACCGGACACACAATGGTGGCACAGGAGGGTGGGGGCGCTGCACACAGCAGGGTGAAAAGGCGAGCAAGGAACGAGGGAAGCAAGTGTGAGCGGTAAGAGGGTGAGAAGCAAGAGCGAGAGGCAAGAGGGCGAGAAGGAAGGAGAGTAGGATGAGGGGGAGATGGAAGAGGGATAGAAGGAAGAGGGAGAGGAGGAAGAAGGTGTGAAACAAGAGGGTGAGAAGGAGGAGACTCACCAAGGCACTGGCCGTCTGTCATGGTGAGCCCCTCATTGCAGATGCAGGGCGGGTCGGCAGTGGCATTGCAGGTGGAGTTGGTCGGACACACAATGGTGGCACAGGAGGGTGGGGGCGCTGCACACAGCAGGGAAAAGGCGAGCAAGGTGCGAGGGAAGCATGAGTGCGAGGCAAGAGGGTGAGAAGATAGTGGGAGAGGCAAGAGGGTGAGCAGCAAGAGTCAGAGGGAAGAGAGAGAGAAGGAAGAGGGAGAGAAGAAAAATGAGGAAAGGAAGAGAAAGTGGATGAAAAAGAGGAGGCTTACCAACGCACTGGCCGTTTGTCATCTCAAACCCTGCATTGCAGATGCAAGGCGGGTCGGCAGTGGCATTGCAGGTGGAGTTGGTCGGACACACAATGGTGGCACAGGAGGGTGGGGGCGCTGCAGAAAAAAGGGCAGGGACGAGCAAGGCGCGAGGGGAGCAAGGTTGGATGGCGAGTGCGTTAGATTGGAACGCATGAGAAGCATGGGGCCTCTCACAATCGTACACACGATGCAGAAGGCCCCTCCCTCGCATGGGAGGCAGAAAGAGTCCCCACTCAATCCCTTAATAACATGAGCAGCAAAGAGTGGAGGTGGAGGAAGAAGCTTCAGGAAGAGACGCAAGAGAAGAAATGGTTGTGAGGCATGAATGGCTGCTGAGTGACGTTGGCACGTGGTAGAAGCGGCGCTGAAATGGGAGTCTCTAGGGCACACGTACTGCCATGCTCGTCCCATGCACTGACGCAGGGCACGAGCATGGCATCCCCACCTCGCATGGCACCCCAGCAGGCCCCACTCTCCCGCACCCACACCCCAACAAGCTCCCCTCTCCCGCACCCGCACCCCACCTTGCGTCCCTTACGACGCACTCACACTCACACTGACACGTCAAGCGCGACTCACCACGGCACTGCTTGGCAGTGGCGTCGAAGACTAGAGCCCCAGCGCACACACACTCCTGTCCCTTGTCGCTTATCGTGCACTTGGCTTCCGATCCACAGTCCACATTGTCCACCCCGCAGCCTGACAAAGGTATGGGGCGATTGTGGAGGCAGGGAGGAGGGGCAGAGTTGGGGTGAGGAGGGAGAAGAAAGACACAGAAGGAGGGGGTGAGGGATAAAAACGGCACAGCGAGGCTCGTGGTTCAGTACACATCAATTAGGCATGGTCCTTTGACGCTACTTGCACGCCTGTTGGATCAAGTAGTGTGCGCGCAGGTGCACAGCCGAGAGCTATGTGGCGGCTGATGCATGGAAGGCGTGTGTGTGACACACGCCCTGTGTCATGCACCTCTGCACCGACCTTCTAGCTGCACATTGCACTCCACCACACACCACAGCGCACCGAACCGCACCACACCGCATCACGTGGCAAGCTCTGAGGAGTTCTAGGTGTGAAGAATGGTGCAGAGCAGTGCGTTGGCACATGCATTGCCCTTCCAGATGGGCAAGCGCACACGCATTGTCCCACCTTGCAAGTGAGTGCAGTGCAGGGCCAGGCGTGCAATCTTACCCGTCCCACATCTCAGTGACGCTGGCATTTTGGAAGCAGGGAACGTCCTGAGAGCAGCAGCAGCCAGGGCATGGCGGCAGCAGGGGAGAAGAGAGAAGAGGGGTGCAGAGGAGTGCAGAGGGGAGCAGGGGGGATCGCAGGGAGAAGGATGAGACACGAGGACATGAGGGGACACAGATCAAATAGACTCGTTCCGAATCAACAGCCTTAATGCGTTGAATGCTTTGCGCGACAGATGGCCGGCGCCGCTCACATAGTGGTGGGGGCACTGGTGGCAGGGCGCAGGTACGTGGCCATGGGAGGTCCGGCGCAGCCCGGGGCGGAGTGGAAGGAGACGCTGCGGCACACGCGAGAAGACGGCAAGCCCGCCACACGGCCCCAAACGATCGCCGAGTTGACAGGATCAGGCGGACGTGTGGCATCCAAGTCGGAGCACGCCGCAAAATTGAACCCCACATCCGCCCAGGGGAATTGGATGGTAGTGTCGTACTCGTCGCTGCCGTAATCGAATTGCAGCAATGCGGGAGACGGGCGGCGCACATCGGGGGCGGCGCTGTCGCCCGCCGGCAGCGTGCGAGGAGGGCGGTTCGCATCCACATGGCGGGCGGCGGCGCTGACGAGGAGCGTGAGCGCAACGAGCCCAGCGACGACTGCGGCGAGGCCAGCTTGAAGGGCAGAACGCGGCCCGGCGCACGCCATGATGGCGGCGGCGACGAGCGACGAGAAGGCGCCGCGAGGCTGCGCGGTGCAGCGCGGCGACCCCGTGCGACGCTGCCCGCACTAGGCGGCTAGCGGCGACGGTGGACTGCGGGGTGCTGCTGCGGCGGCGGATGATACAAACTTGAAGGACGAGCGTGCTCGCTTGAACCTCTCGGAGAGGGCGCGACGGGACGCGAGGTGGCAGCGATGCGTAAGGGGGGGTCGAGAGGGATACTCGTGCGGAATGGCGAGATGGTGAACGAAGGGAAAGGGGGGCTATGTAAGCGGCCATCGTCACCGCTATACTATCATCCACCGAGGCAGGGACGAGAAGAGGTGAAGGGAGTGCGAGGCCCGTGCAGTCAGTTGCTGACGATCGGCCCACGGCGGATGAGCCGATGCTGGTGATTGGACAACGCAAGCTTCTTGAAGGTACGCGACATCTCGCGTTGCCGCATCGCTATTGGGCGACTACTATTACGCGGTCGACTAGGCTGTCGTAGTGGAGGGAGTGGCTGGCGGGGCGTGGAACGCGGATGGCGAGAGTGTGCTTGGGACAGCTGAAGAAGCGGATCAACCTTGTCACTGCGACTGCCACAACTTTCTCCGCAACCAATGCCAATCGCCAGAACGCGATACTGAGTCGCCAGAACTCCATACTGAGTCGCCTGAACGCGATATTGCGTCGGCAGAGCACGACACTGCATCGCCAGACTCGATGGTGGAAACCCATACCATATCAGATAGGTTGCCACAACTTTCTCCAATCACCTTGCATAATGTTTTACAGGCGTTGTTCTGCAGGCGTTTGTGGTTCTGCACCAATTTGACCGCGTTAGCCTTCCATGTATTTTCCAGGCGCATTCATGCTGGTTGCATTGCGCGGATGTTGCTGCCCCGCATAACTTGTGCGGAGGCTGATGCTAGCTCCCGAGGTAGAATCAGCACCGCACTAGTTGTGCGCCCATTTGCCAGGGGAAGCAACATCTTCGAACCAGCAAACGCTTAAATTTTTGCTCCCCTGAAGTGTCGTTCTGTAGGCAGAGGCGTTAAATTTGGCGCGAACAGGTTTGGCAGGACTTTGCTTATCACCGAACCTTGATAGGCAGAAACCCACTTATCGGCGAAGATTCTGCGGACCCAGTTTCCCGAGATTTAACGCCTACAGAACAGCGCCACAATAATTCAGTTACAACCAATGCCTGAATCGGGAGATTCAGGATGCTTCTTCACCAGAACGTGATGCTTCGTCGTCAGAAGGAGCGGTGTTAGGCAGGCACCACGGGGTTAAATTTGTTTTTCTGGTCGTAACCAGTTTAAGGGGTATCCACTCCTAGATGAGCACGTGCTAACCCCTACTTGGGGCTGGCAGAACACGCCTGCACGGGGGTGGGTTCGATCCCAGGACCTCATCTATCGGAAGTGCCTCTTTCTACTGACTAGGCCACTTCGGGATAGGCAGGCACCACGGGGGGCAAGGGACCAGGGCTCTGGCTAGGATTTTGACCCGTCTGAAAAAGTAGTACCAAAAGAAATTTCGTGTGAAAGAAATATGAGCAAAGATGGGTGGTCTGATTTAGCGGATGAAACATAAGGGCGTGTGCACTAGAGGGTCGAACTGAGGCAGAAGTTCGATCTTTAAGATGTTGGGTGCAAAATACTATTTGCACGTCAACCTGTCGCCTATTCGTCGAGCAAGGTGAATTAGGAAGGTATTGGATTCAAGGTAATTTGTGTCGTGTGGAATGCGCATTTGTGTGCTTTTCATTTTGGCGTTTACGGTTTGTGATTCGCCTTAGCGGTTCATGAGTTATGTGCATTTCAGTGTGAGGCTGCATTCATGTGTTTTCATGATTGTTTGTGTCTGTTTCGTGTTGTTCTTGTTGTGTCATGAATGTGCGTGAAGTTCCGAGTGAGCATGTGTTTTCATGAGCATTCGCGCGTTCATGTTTGTTCGCGCACTGTTCGTGCACGCTTCGTGAGCGTTCATGTATCTTCATGCTCGTTCATGTGTGTTCATGTTCGTTCATGACTGTTAATGTTCCGTTCGTGTTTCTGTCATGAGTTTTCATATATTTTTCATGAGTGCTCGCGGTGAATGGCGAGTGTTTTTCTGCTGGGAGATATTTTCGCGTTGGTCAAGGTTGAAAAGTGCGCGAGAATCTGGACCGTGCGTGTGGGTCCAGATCTTGCGTGTGGGTCCTGAGGGCCCACGCGTGTGGATTGCACTGTTGCGTGCGTGGCCAGGCCCATGATCGCATGGGACAGCGCACGTTCGCGTGGTGTACAGCACGACCGAAATATCGGTCGTGCATGATTGTGCACCTGAGGGGTGCGCGTGTGTTTCGGGGGGTGCTTCAGGATTGACTCGAGATTTCAGTTATGTAACTGAATCTCGAGCCTCGTCTTTTGTGACGTGGTGCAAGGACATTTCGCTAGAAGCTGCGCATCTAAAGGTAACCGATTTGGTACAGGTACGAAACGGTGAAAAACCGTTTTACAACTGTACAGTTTCGTGAAAACGGTAATTCCACACGAGGGAACATGATTCTACATGTGCGTTCATGATCCTTCGTGCGAGGAGTCAGCAGGGGCATTTGGCAGCCATGGAAATTGAAGACGGTTATTTCAAGGACTCGGATGAAGCCAAATTCAGAGGAAGTTTGGCAACGGTTTTCTAATACAACATGGCGAAGTCCTGGAATTGCTGTTAGTCAACTGTTGCTAATTTCCTTTGCATGTGTGTTAGGCAAAATATATATGCGTGCTTGTGCAAAGTTGTAATCCATCCTTTGAGTGAAGTTTTTCTCTATCATCGTATTGACGTGAAGAGAAATTTCTGCACACGGCCAGTTCGTCGTCATAACGCTTCGCAAGAAGTCTTGGGAGTGCTCTATTGCACACGACTGCCTCTTTACACTTGGTGTGTCCCTCTACAAACACGGACCCTTGGTTAGGTGCTGGCATTGCCAGGCACCCGAGGACCCTTGGAGGTGACCCCGTGGGGACTGCTAAGTGTGAATTAAAGGTGTGCATAGTATCTTCTAGATCCCAATAGTGGTTAACACGTGGTATCAGAGCTGGTTCTTGGTTTGTTTGGACGTCTTGCCGTTAGAACGTCATGGCGCCGGGCGACAATGAAGGTTCTACTGCACAAGCTGATAGTGGAGTCCAAGATACGGGTGGTTTAGCACCAAGGGGAGTGCGTGCCAGCCCGGGCTCACTACTGAAGGAGGCGCTTAAGAACTTCATCGTCGACAAATTCAACGGCAAGAACTACGACGATTGGGCGTGGAAGATGCAGTTGTATTTTCGGCAAGTGGGCTTGTTGAAGCTGATGACGGGCGTGGAGAAGAGGCCGGATGACGTCAACCTGCAAGTGGAGTGGGATGAGCGTGCTACGGCCGGCTAATACCTTCTCTCACAAAGCTTGGAGCTGAACCAGCGGTCACACGTGATGCACCTGCTGGAAGAAGCTGATTGCGGGCCACGAGCTTGGAAGGTGCTAAAAGAGCTGCACGCGCCAACCTCGATGGTCGCAACGCTCATGCTGGAGCGTGAGTTGGCGGCATTGCGCCTGAGTGAGGGGGAGCCAATTCAACCGGTTCTCGACAAGATGCGAGAGCTGTACGCGAAAGTGCAGATTGCGGGCATCACCTACCCGGAGCAAACGAAGTGTCTACGAAAGCTATCACTGCTGCCCGAGTCATGGCTGCAATTCACAAGTGGCCTAAGCCTTCCTCAGAATGAGAAGTTGTGGACCCTTGAGTGGGTGCGAACCAAGGTCTTGGAGGAGGACTTCAGGAGGAGGCAGCTGAACTACAACCAAGACGGCGACGGCGGCTATGGCATGCAAGGCAGCAGGTGGCGCAAGGGGAATGACCGGGGACATGGTGAACGAAGACATCATGGAAGCGGACGAGACAACAAGAAGCCGAGCAGTAGGAGTGATGATGAAGAAGAGGCTACTAACGAGAATGACGAGGGTGGCTACCGCGGATTCAAGGGTACCTGCTGGTATTGCAAGAAGCCTGGGCATACTTGGGTGAAGTGCTGGAAGCGGCCCAAGTGGTGGACTCCCGAGCATGAGGATGGCGAGAAGAACCAGCAACATGTTGGTTATGTAGCAGAGACCGCAGATGAAGGGGAACAAGGTTGGGAACGCGCTCCTGGACAGTTCTTCCATGTGCAAGGGAGTACGGGAGATGAGAAGGCATCTGCCAAGGAGAGAACAAGGCCTCGTCCCCTCAACACATGGATCCTAGACTCCGGAGCGGCGTGTCACATGACCCCAAGGGCGGACCTGCTAGACAAGATTGGCGCAACGAGCATCACTGAGATGAATTCCGGCTGTGGGCACAAGATGAAGTTATGGGAGTCGGCAAAGCAACCTTCAAGGGAGCTGACGGGAAGCCGATCGTCCTAGACGCGAACGTGTGGACGTGGCTCTTCATGCTCAACAATTACTTCGCCGCGAGCGGGGTGCAAGAGGCGGACGGGATCGAGTAGGCGGTGACGATGCGGAGGGGCCCGGCCTTGGAGTGGTGGCGCCAACTTACGCAGACTGCTGTTAGAATGGCTCAAATGGACGGACATCAACAGGGCGTGGGGCATGCAGCTGCAACTTCGAGCTTAGGGAGTTTAGCTTTGGGTGTTACCACGGTTCCGACGACATGGGAAGGATTTGAAGCGGCGCTGAAAAGTAGGTTCGATTTGGTGAACGCCTCCGAAGCTGCTAGGAAGCGTCTGCGTCATTTCCGACAGATAGGAAGCGTCCAAGAGTACACACGACGGTTCTTGAGCATCTGCAACGAAATAGATGACATGACGAAAGCAGAGATGCACGATTGCTACCTTGAAGGGTTGAAGCTGGACATAGCGGAGGTTATAGCAATTCACGAGTTGTCCACCTTTGAGTCAGTTGTCGCAACAGCAAAACGCGTCGACGCAGTACGAAGCCGACGGGGTCGTGACGATCGCGATAGGGGATACAACAGACCGGTCAACAACGCTCGATCGAGGGACGGACCATCGCCCATGGAGATTGGTGCAGTTAACAGTGACGGCTCACAGCAAACTGGATTTAGGGGGAGCTGTCACAAGAAGCGTGACTGTCCACAGCTTAAGGAGCGGCAGCAGGGAAACGGAAACCTCTAGTAGATAGCGGGTCGCTAGCTGGTGTGGAGGCTTCCGTACCCGCCAAGTCTATCGACGTAGAGAAGACAGCTCTGGAGCAGTCACCTACGGAGAATGGGGTAGACACTGTTGATCGTCCAGTCGTGCTTCTAGGGA